TATTACTGTAACCGATTCAAGAGAATTGCTTTAATAAAAACGACCATAATTATGTTTCGCCACCTAGTGTGCTCATGCCGTTTATTTTTGCCGTTTTAGCTTCAATAAAATGGAGACTGTATATTTATGCTCTAAGAGGGGAATTGTTAATTATTATTCTATAAATAACATACGGAATGTCTATAAATGTTCAATATACAGACATTATGAAATAATTATGGAGCGCCGATCGGAAGGGTATGTTGAACTTGCATATAAAACAGCTTCCTTAACGGAGGCTTCTAGTTGAATTAACGTCATTAACGTCAGCTATTTTGCTATTATTATTACGTAATTTAACGTACTCATTATTTTTGTCTTTAGTAGTTAGTCTGCACTCAAGATGAAGGTTAAATATGAGTTTAATAAATAAATTGTCGAAAAAACCTTCATTTCTTTTAGGATTCAAAGCTGCGTCTTATGGGTAAGTCACGGAGACGTTTTAGACTGAGCTAAGCGCCTAAAATCACACTGCAACCACTATTTAGTAAATGCTTGTGTGGCACCTCGTGAGCAATTTTGCAATATGCCAAACCTTTCAAACAATATTTAACAATGAGTATTTGAACGAGGTTGTTAAATTTGCTATTAAAATGACATGTTGTTTATTGTTTGTGCTGGTCTGCAAGCAAGATGAAACGTTAATATGAGTTAAATACATCAATAATTGAAATATTTAATTACGGCAACATGGGGCGGTTTTAGCTCATTTGGCTAGTGTTACTCAGAAGACTGAGGTTCGAATCCAGAACGAGCTGATTTTTTTAAATATAAATAATTTTAAATAAAAATAGTTTATTTTCTTTCTTTCTTAAAAATATACCTCAGTACTGGTCGAATATGGGACTCCTAGCCAGTGCAACAATGGAAAATAGATCGATGGACACGCGGAATGCGAGTGCTCGCATCTTAACTGTTGTGGGCGTACATCTTATCAATTTGTTTATTTTGCTCTCTTCCATGGTAATTTCTTTTAATCTCCGAAAAACAATCGATTCACGGTGTTTTTTCCCGCTTCAACAAAATGTGGGATCTCTTCAGTCTCAAGTTCATTAAATGCGCATCATAACAATGTCCTGTTTTTCTTCGATAAGCCCTAAGTCTTCATTCACCACACTTCACGGTAATTCTGCTTAACCTCATCTGTTTCACAGGTTTTCTCACTGTCGGATTCCTAGCAGTGCAAGGGGAACCACTCCTTTTTTGTCTTTTACACTTGAATTTTCACTATATCGTTTGATGAAGAAATAAACGAATCTTTTGGTTACATTCAAATTTTTCAGTTCGAAAATATGATCGCTTTGTATCATGATCGGTTCGGTTACGAGCAATATTGCGATAAGCGATAACTACAATTCAGTCTTTTTAAAATGTGCTGTGTTTCGAATTTCATTTAAATCAATAAGTGAATTTCGAAATTGTGCACATTTTTATTTTCATAAAACATTAGAAATTTAATAAATATATTTTTGGACAGTATTCAAAATTCGTGTTCATCACGCGACAAAACTTATGACCCCGACTAGGTATAGCTAGAATTTACCACCGTATAAATTAATAATTTAAAACGGCCTTCATTAGGCGATGAAGTAAATGAAGTCGTAGTCGATGATAGTCACGAGACGAAAGCAATTATAGCAACTCCTGCAAATAACACATCCATTAAATGATACTCCGAATTGGAAAACTCCGATATGTAAGATAATACTGGTCTTGGCATAGGAATCCCCATTGCTTTCGCGTTGGCGATGCAATGGGGATTCAGCGTGGAGTGCCTTAGCTTCATTCTGTGAGACATGTCATAGCTTAGAAGGAGGCTACTGAGCGAAACCAAGAAATATCAATGTCATTATCAGAAGACGCCGCCAGGGCACAGTTGGTCTTCATCTTCCCGTTATCTGGGCTATCCGTACATTTACAATTAGTCCATTTTTATTATCAAAAAACAAAACTGACTTCGAATATCTCGCTCTGCAGTCATTTTATAATTGATTTTTTTTATGTGAAAAGTTGCCAAACGAGCAGACGGTTCACCTGATGGTAAGTGAATACCGCCGCCCATGGACATCTGCTATTCCCGAGGGTTACAGATGCGTTGACCTTTTGAAAATTGGGCTCCGGCTACCTCACTCACCAAACGAAACGCGAAAGTATCTGTCATACTTCCACTTTACGGTCTTCTGTGAGGTCGTGGTACTTACCCGGACCGGCCTGCCCATTCGTGCAACATCCGAGGCTGCTGTGTGGCCCTACCGCCGTAAAGGAATTTCAGGAGTTTTCTAAATACCTCCGGAGCCCAAGATCCAGTACCAATGAAATTAATGTGGGACCACATGAGAAGCACCAGCATTGAAATAAAAAAAGAATCATCATAATCGATCCACCCAGTTGAAAGTTATGAGGTAACAAACATAAAAAAATACAGTCGAATTGAGAACCTCATCCTCTTTTGAAGTCTTAGGTAGTAAAAACTATCGAACAGCCTTTTTTCTTTTTTTTTTTTTGTATAGTATATAACGTTGTAAAGTGAGGCTTTAGGATAACATTATCCTGTGTTGTAAGGACGTTTTTACAAACATAAATTTCACGTGGACAAACACTCGGGTGGCAACTGCGCCACGGAGTCATCAAGTCTTTTGGATTGCACGATTAATTTTGCGGCCCTAACCTGTGTGATCAACTAAATGAGATGTTTTCAATAATCCACTATTTATTGACCCACTTGGTTAAATAGTAAGCCTCAATGAATTTTGTTAAAATAATTAACATAAACACTTTCGGAATACGAATTAATTAATAAAGATTAGCATTGATTTTTAGGGTTCCGTACCCAAAGGGTAAAATAGGACCCTATTACTAAGACTCCGCTGTCTGTCTGTCTGTCTGTCCGTGTCAGCAAGCTGTATCTCACGAACCGTAACAATTAGACTGGAAATTTTTACAGATGATGTATTTCTGCTGCCACTATGACAAAAAATTCTAAAAAACAGATAAAAAATATTTAAGTGGGGCTCCCATACAACAGACATAATTGTTTTATGCTATTTTTATAGATGGTACAGAACCCTTCGTGCGCAAGCCCGACTCGCACTGAGCCTTTTTTTTTCCTTAATACTTATTAAATAATTATAAATAATATTAAATAATGACCGCGAGCATATTTAACCGGTATATACACTTTTTAACGTATACGCGAACTTTACTTTTCTTGTAAATGTGTACGTACCGTACATTTAATCATGAAGACCTGTTATTGGATTTTTGTTTCCTTGTATAGCGTTGTTTGCTATTTGTTTTACTTTATGAAAAAATAAATTGCGTTTAATACAAAGCCCGATATCGTGTAAGTCAATATACATCACTTAATTGCAAATCTTGAGTGCTTTCTATAGTCATAAAAGTAAAGTATCTAACAACCTATACATGTCGCAAATACAAATGTAATACGGAGTATAAAGGCCTCTGTACAGAGATTATATTAAGGCATAGTCCACCACGTGGTCCCGTGGATTGGCAGACTTCACATATCTTAGAAATATTATTTCATTCAAAAATACGGAGGTTTGATTGTTAACAATTTAGAGCGCCTGGACACAGCTATCACCTTTAACCAACATCTAGACATATGTAACAAAAATTTAAAAATACTTTTGCAAGCTTGTTCATTGCTTAAAATAACTTTTCAATAAATCTTTTCACAAAAAAAAATATGATTTTCTTATAATTTTTCAAATGGATACACAAATATAGTGGAATGTGATCGTGCCTCTTATTTAACCTAACCTAACCTAACCTAACCTAACCGTCTTCCATGGACATTAAAACTAAGAAAGGACTGCCTAATCTACCTACCATCATAATGGTATTCGTTCAATGATAAACGAATACCACGCTTCGGTGAATTCAGCTGCTATGGAGGATGCTTTATTGAAAGTCAAAAATACAATTTTTAACTTTCAATAAAATCTTGAAACTTTCGGTTGAACTCATGAATTATTTACCTATTTCAAAATTACAAAATGATTTTTATTACTTAGACGCACACTGTTGCACGAATGGACAGGTCCGTCCGGGTAAGTACCACGACCTCATAGAAGGAGAGTACCTAACTCCAGCGTAAAGTATAAGTCAGTCGTAAAGTAGATGTAGAAGTCTGTCACTCGCCAGACGCAATGCAAAAGTGTAACTTTTGAGTAAGGTAGTCGCGGCCCGCTTTATTTAAAGGTAAAGGCAACGCATTGGCAACCCTACGGGTATTGCAAATGTCCATGGGCGGCGGTAATCACTTGACATCAGGTGAACCGCCAGTTCGTTTGCCACTTTCTCACATTGAACAAGTCATTTTTTTACTAACGAAAAACAAATCTACTTCAAACATCTCGGTCTGTATTCATTTTATAGTTGATTTTCAGGAGTTTTCTAAGTATCTTCGGATCACACGATCCAATACCAATGAAATTACAACGACATAGGGCCACATGGAAAGCACCAGCTTTCAAATAAAAAAGAATCATCAAAATCTGTTCACTGAGTTGAAAGTTCTGAGGTAACAAACATAAAAAAAAAAACAGTTGAGAACCTCCTCCATTTGAAGTAGATTTAAAAAAAGGCCGCTATCCTTTCTCAGTGTAAAGCCTGTCATTAATTAATTAGTTTGCTTTGAGATTTAGTCGACTTACGCATAATCACTTTTCTTTCGTATAAATATTATGAAATTCCATAAAAAAAATAAAGTATTGAAATTATTAGTTTTAGATTACTATATAGCGCATTGATAAGCAGACACTGCCTAATGACGTAGTACTCCATTTAAATTTGCGAGAAATAGAATGAAACCCAATTAAAAGCAAAACAGATTAATCTAATCGTGAATATTGTTCAACATCAAATTTGAGAAAAAAAAAAGCTTTCGAGAAACATTTAAATGAAAGAGTCGATCTCTCTCTCTCAATCTGTTTTCACATCTCTGTTTTAGGCATTTCATCTGTGACGCGGGCGAGGACAAGATTCTTCTCGGTGCCCTGCAATCTCTTGGGCTCTAATGCGGCCCTCATTTCGAGAGCTTGCGTGTCCGTTTCCAGTGAGTGCTCCTTGTCGTTTAAGTCCAGTGCTATTTTTATTGAGGCGGCTTCCAGAGCGTTGTACGTAGCCCTGAAACAATACCGAATGTTCCAATGTTTTTATTCTTTACTTTACATAATATAATATTTAGAAGTTACTACTTGTAACGGCGGGCTAGGAAAAAATGACGAGAGTAAAATTTTTTATAAGCGCGTGCACAACGGCAGAAATAAAGTGACATCATGAAGTTCGTTGCAAAAGACTAATTTCGACTTCATGGTATTAGGCATGCATTGCGGTTGCATTACCATGACAACCAATAACAACTATTTTAATCTTATAATTTAGTATGTGCGTAGATTCGGGGGCGAAAAATCGATCTAGCTAGGTTTCATTTTTAGATCCTTTTATCCCTGTTTTCAGGGAATGAAAAATATCATTCGAATATGAAGAAACAGAAGGCCGTGGGTTCATGCCACGAACATTTACACACTTATTTTTTACTTTCTTTCCGATTGCAGATCATTGCTTGCTTTATTTTTTATTTTTAGTCGATCCAGATGATATTGTCATTTTTTCCCTTTTTTTTAAGTTCTTTCTTTTGTGAAAAACACCAGTTCATATTTTCTTATTAATACGTCGTTAACGAAAAATATTATGCATATTTCATCACTCAGTAATTTGTTTCTAAATGTAATTTCCAAAATACATGGTTTACCAAAAAAAAAAAAACCCTCCAGGTACTACCTGTCTTCTAATTTCGTACATAAGTACAAACATATATTTTTCCTATTTTTAACTTAATTAATTTCTTAAGAGAAGATAAAACTCTCAAGCAGGCTTAGGTTGATAAAATATAAATCTAAGACTAAACTTCATAACGCTTCATAGGTATAAAAGTGTGAGGTCAATAATAAATTACAGATATTTATTACTTTTTAAAGTGTTAATCTCTGCACTTAACTTGATGTTCTTATTACAAATTTTAATAAAAATAAAGGCTATAAGTCTGTAAAAATACTTTCATTCAACAAAGTGCTGGGTTCGAGTAAAAATAGGCAACCAATGAATAAAAAGGTGTTAAACCGAATTCCCGTGACGTATTTTTCAGTAATCTTGTATTTTTAAAATTTAACTTGATATGTCTTGTTAAAAATAAACTCATACAGTATTGTGAGTCAAATGAAAAAGTTACCGGCTTTTGAATTGCTAAACTAATACGAAGAATGTTTTGTTATTTTAAAAGAACTCTTTCTTTAAAATCACAAAGATTTGTCATAGTCCACCATGCGACCCCACTATGGATTGCAGACTTCATGTATATAATAGTAGTTGCTGCCCGCAACTACGTCTGGCTAGAATAGGCTGAAGGCGTAACATTCAGACAGAAAGACTGATATACATAAAAATATGTATATAAATTATAGCATATGTCTTATTCTGTGTAAGCTATATTATTGTGAAGTTTCATTAAAATCCATTCAGTAGCATTTGCATGAAAGAGTAACAAACATCCATCCATACATACAAACTTGCGCCTTAATAATATTATATTATATTAAAGATATGTCACGCATAAACAGAACATAATTATGCAGGTTTCCTCGCGATGTTTCCTTGCCAACAAACACGGAATAAATCTGAACTTAAAAATGTAATTAACGATTACGTTATTGCCGGCGCAGCAACGGTAATTGAACTCAGGTTGCTCTCAAGCTATCAAGGATCTTGTGATAGTTTTTCTACAGTTTTTGCCTATAACAAAGACTAAAGGGTTGCCTAAAATTTTTAAGCTCTCTTGAGTAGCTGCGTTCTGAAAGATCTCTGTATTTGATTTTTCGATACCGACACTAATATCTTCGTTACGAGTTGGTCAACTATCGGACTGAAAAACATAAAATTGACAGAACGCTGTAACTAAGTACAAACGTATGTATTCACTTAGCGCAATCCAACTTGTCTTGCAGTTGACGAACAGTTTCTTTCAGATTGGAAACTTCCTCCTTCAGTCCCAAGTCCGCCTCGTCGGAGACTAGTTCGATGCCGGGCCGATAGCCTCGTACTTCTAGACGCGTTTGAGCCACCTTCAAAGCGTTCACTTTATCGGCAAACTGTTCGCCCATAGTTTTCAACTCGGCAGCTAGTTTATCCATATTCTCCTCCATCTGAAATCAGTAGCCATATTCCAATAACGGGTATTGTGTAACTTTGTGTCGGATGAATTACGTACTATTTCCCTCTTCGTGCTAAATGTGGTATTGTTTATAATGATAAACAAATTTTGCTATAGGTAACTTACTACACTCTGCTCAATAAGTTGAATGAAATTTACTGCGCTTATTGTGTTCAATATAATAAATAACTGTTATAAATAAAATTGAAAAAATAGTAATGAAGTGGATTCTATAACACATAAGTTAAGTATAACTAAGAAGCAATAAATTATGCAGCAAATAGTTTAGCCCACAAACATGGTTTCACGAGTTTACAAGGACTAAGAGTAACACTCTCGGGTGAGAAGGATAATAATTTTACTTTTGGCGCACCTATGCACATGCATTTGGGATTGGTATAATTTCGCCTTTGCATTAAAGACGAGCGTAGAATGGTGCTATGACATCGTTACCTTGAATTAATTGATACGATCGAAAACGACACACTCAACGGAAATGCAAAAAAAAAAAACAATATAGATTAAAAACGTTGAGATTTTCGTTAGCGTGGCAATCTGCCGTTTAGTTTAGTCTTTTAAAGGTACTGGGCCCAAATCTGGAAGACGTGGCTTCGATGCACGCAGCGGGGGATAACTTTACGCCGTTTTTCTACAAATTCTATTACTTAATCCTCATCTCAAATAAAGAATACCGAGATGTCGCATAGGTGTATGTGTCGCATAGGTGTCGCAATGGACCTTCATTTTCTGCCATTCTAGCTCGTTCCTCGCCCGTTGGGTGTCGTAAATGCGTTTCCGCATCATGTAGTTGGTGACGTCAGTTTGCGCTCGCAGCGTGTTCCTGGCACGTTCACGAGCAACGAATAGCGACTCGCGAAGTTTCAGCGTGTCCCGCAACTCGTCTTCTGCCATTCTCTTGGTCGCTTCACACTTTTCCTGCCACTGCTCGTACGTGATCATCCTGCCGTCACAAAATTGAACCAGTGGACACAAAGTAAAAGCCGAGAATGTTGTCGTTAAGGTACTATAAGATACTTCAGTTTGTAAAATATTTATTTTAGAACTTGAAGCACCTTAACCTATATATGATTATGTATTAAATCCCTTACATATACCACCCTTAAGAAAACGTTTTCCCCAAAATTTTGATATGAAACTTAATTTTAAAATTTGTATGTACTTAGTTTTATATGTACACGGTATTATTAAAACAGTTTTACAATAAGCGTATACTATGTTTGATGTGGTTTTGTTTAAATACATAAAAGGGAACGAACGAACAAAGAAAAAAAACACAAGGAGAACATTCATCGTTTGAGTTTGGGAAAAATTTCCATGAAAATATGAATTAATAAATGAAGACATTGTTGTGGATCCCATACAGGCATATATGCATAGCACACTTAAAACTAGCACTGTAACTTTAACAGTAAAACTGAGTTTTAATCCCCGTAAAATTAGGAGAGGATACAAGATTAATAATGATATTTAGGTGCTTAGATGCTTTTGAAAATCTTATACATAGTGGGGATGTTGGCCAAGTAAAAGTCAAGTTGGCTTCCCGAAAGCTTGGTGACCTGGGCAGAGCGAGGCAGAATTTCCTGCCGTTCCTTAGTCTGTAGCTCTACAAAGCGGCCCTACATGAAGTATTGTTCTCGTTTCTGGGTTGGGACGCCCCAATTCCAGCCAGTTCCATTAGACCGCATCCAACGTAGAGCTGGTCGAATCGTTGGCTACCAAGCCTTTTCCAATGGTCTCGATCCTTTGACCTTACGAAGAAATGTTTAGTCTCTGTATTTTTATCATATTTATCATGGGGAGTGCTCTCAGGAGTTGTTCGGGTTATTCATAATGCCTGCTGCTGAGATTCACCACTATACGACCCGTCAATCTGTCAAATACCATCGCTATCACCCCGATGTTTGGCAGTCCATCGTTGTGCATTTCTCGTGTCATTTTGCGGTGGTGAACACTTACCATCAGTTGATCCACCTGCCCGTTTGCATACTTAGCCATAAAAAAACGTTGTAGTTTAAAAAATTTTAGCTTTTCAACAATAAATATATTAGATTTTATTTCTAGGAATAAAAAAAAACTTCATGGTATTGTCATTCATCCGTATATAATTAACATGTTGGTTATTTTGTAATAATTCTCAATTTTGAATCAGCATCTTCTTTTTTACCCTTATTGAGTGGTATTATTTTCGTTTGTACTCATAGACTATCAATAAAAATTATTTACTGCGAGTTAACACAGGCACAAACCTTTTGGGAGTCTTCAGAGGGTCTGTTTTGTAGGTAATGTTGGCGCACTCTTTGTCTAAGTTCAGCATGTCTTTGTCGATTTGCAAAGCTTCATTTTTATCATTCAGGTCAAGTTGTAGTTTAAATTTGACGACTTCAAGCTTATTGATCTTCTCCCATGTTGACTGACAACGATCTATCAGCATTTTTTTATTGCTCTCAGTGACACAGAGTTCCTTTGAAAAATAATATGAGAATTTATTGTCATTATAAAAATCATGTCATTGTAAAATAATTTCAAACGTGAAACGTAAAGTTAAATTATGAAGTAATATACATCAATTTAGTGTATGTGAATGATATGTACGAATTTTCTACTTACATCTAAATATGCGTTTACTAATAAAAACTTACGTTTGAGCATTAAATTATATTCTTGCGTGCATAGTTCATGTATGTAATATTAATATTCATTTATTTATGTAATGATAATATTCATTTATTTTTAAGAACCAAAATTGATACAAAAAATTATAGCATTTAAGAATAAATGACTACATTTTTAGGATAAGATTGATAATTTATTTTTTTGCAAGGAGAACGTTTCTCTTTAAGGTTTTCGTAATTCTCAAAATACGCTCACAATGTGTCACGCGGAGACTGGGAATTGCAAAAATCAAAGACAATAAAATTAAAGCCATAGGAGTCTAAGGTCGGTTCTTATTTCCTTAGCGGAAGCGACACTGATCAGCATATCAATATAAGTCATCAGTCTATAGATCTACCTTGAAGAATATCGTAAGTGGTTCAGTACAGTTGATTAACAGATACAGATACAAGAGATTATTTGGTGAACGCTGTGGTTGTTTAACTTATTCTGTATCATGAAAAGTCACTCAAAGCATTGAATATAAGTATTTTATAAAAAAAAAAGTGGTAAACAACCTATACATATCCCACGACAGTCAGAGCATAGTCCACCATGCAGCCCGATAGCGGATTGGTGGACTTTACATATCCTAGAAATATTTTTTTGTAATTTTTTCGAAAATGTGTAGGCCTCCTCACAATTTTTCCATCACCGTTGATTTCGTGATAAGCCAGCACTTTATATTAACAATTTTATTCGTGCCGGCACCGGCATTTGAACTCGGATTGCTCGAGTATATTGAATTAAAGGCGGGCGTCCGGACACAGAGCAATCACGGTTAAAAAATATGTAGTTTTTGTAATAAAGAAAATAGTTACGGCTGCGTTATTGTTGCATCATCATCATACCCCTGCTCTTCTTCCACCTGGGCGCGGGGGCACACTGTTTGTATCATGCAGTTGTATGGACTAGATTTTTTACGATCAGCGGATACCACATTACATTAATAATTTACAACTTGATGATGACTCGGTGGATCACCACCGTTTCATCTTGTAGCATTTGAGAAGAAATTTCGACCCTATACCTTTTTCAACTCGGTGTCGGCAAGATCGTACGTTAGTTCTGTGCTTCTTCTTCCATCTCTATTAGACAGGCACTCGGAGCATACTAATAAGGGCAGATTAAGTTGTTCCAGTTCCCTTTCTGTTGATGCCTTTTCTTCTTTCAACAGATTCATCTCTCTATCCAAGCGGCTCAAGAGGTCTTGAATAGTAGACTTCCATTGTTCAATTTCATAGACTCTGTTAAAAAAAAAACCTTTGTTAATTTATTTATTTAAATGATTAATCAGATTTGTTGTATTTCTAACCAATTCAATTTTTTATTTCATTAATCCGATGGCTTCATGGCCTATTTTTATTAAAAGCCGATTTAAAAGTTAGCAACTCATCTGCTGCAGCAACTCCACAGCGTTTTCCATGAGCAACCGTTGAACCACCTACTCGCTTACCAACTTATTTGCTCAAGTTGTCATTTTTATTTAATTTTGGAAACTTATAGCTATTAAAAATGATAACTAAGCGATTTAAAACACCTAAGAAGCCACTAACAAGTTTTCAAAATTAGCAGTTTTAATTTATACTACTGAGAAAATAAAGTAAATACGACAATTTACTATTGTTTTCTTTTTGATACCTTCATGCACTTTGGCTACTGAATTAGCACCACACAAGTAAATTTCAAGTAGTTTTCCATTGTACCTTGCCCTCAGTCGATTGTTGTTGTGATAGAGGTCCCATTCTGTCTTGATTTTAGTTTCGTTTCGCAATTGACGTGCGCCATGGCGAAGATCGAATGCATCTGCTCTCCTGGTATCCGCAGTCACCTGAGAAAGTTTTCCGTTAAGCAGACGTATACAGTTGAAATGCCTTTAACACATATTTTATTTTTATTATATACTTGTACCTATATTTTCGAAACTTGCAAAGTAAGATTCCAAGTTCGTTTATCTTAAGTCAAATTAAAATGTCACGTTTTAAGTTTCGCTTTTAGTGCAGAGTAAAGTAAAGTAAACAACCTATACATGTCCCACTGCTGGGCGAAGACTTCCTCTGTACAGAGGGTATTAGGGTATAGACCACCACGCGGCTCCCCACTGGCGGACTTCACATATCTTCGAAATATTTTTTTTTGTTATTATTCCGAAAACATGCAGGTGAGCTCGTGATAGTTCAGCACTTAAAATTAACAATTTCATTGGTGTCGGCATCGGAGATCGAACTCAGGTTGCTCGAGAGCAATTCTTGTATATATATATGTGCGTAGATTCGGGGGCGAAAAATGGATCTAGCTAGGTTTCATTTTTAGAAAATGTCCTTTTATCCCTGTTTTCAGGGAATGAAAAATATCATTCGAATATGACAGTAAATTTCGCCGCAAAAAAAATGTTATAATAGCTCGGTCGGTAATCGGGCGGCCCCAAAACAGACGGCCGCGGTTCGTATCACGATCATTTACACACTTCTTTTTTTTACTTTTTTTTCTATACAAGATCATTTTCTTTATTTTTAAAGTTTTTTTATTTCGAAAATACATGATTTACCAAAAAAAAAACCAGCAAAGCTCGGTCCTCAGGCATTTTTGAATTAAAAGCGATCGCCCGGTCATTGAGCTATCACGGCTCTATTGCCGAGACTAGCACTAAAATTAAATTGATCATAACAACTAGTCAAATTACTTTAAACTTTGCCTAGCGATCGCATGATTAGTGGCCATTTTTAGGTGTTAATAGTAAATAAATAAATAAATAAAATCATTTACTCTTCCACATCTGCATTTTGAAAGGAGAATTTTCAAAAGTGAATAAATAAAGAAACATGCGTATTTTGATTAAAATCAATACGTATTTTTGTGTTCGAAACATACAGGGATAAAATGAAAGTCACAAACGTTCTTTATGCGTAAAAAAAATATAAATTGATAGGGCTATAAAGTGTTCGTTCCTTACAATAATGAAGTATGTTTGGCTGTTAGTGGCTTAAGCATATTACGGCCTAATAAATTCATACATGAAATTCAGTCTGAAAGACTGCACTAAGACTTCAAAGAAAAAAATAGTGCGGCGGTTAATATATATTGCATCGGTCAAGTGTATTTATTACTCTTGTCTTTTGATTAGTAGCCTTAGCATCGTAACTCCTTTGTCTCTATTGTTTAAAGTGCATAAAACAAATTAATATATCGTTCAGAAATTGCAGGGATAACTTACATAATATCCCTTGATACTTCGCAGTAATATTGCCAATACTTTCAATTTTTTAACTATCTGTAGGTACCTACGGAATTTCATATTTTTTGCACTCTTCAGGGACAAAATATAAATGTATGTTTTTTATTTTATGTAGCATTAATTAACACATTTTACACGTACGTAAGGAATATGGCAATGAAAAGTTAAATTCTAAATCATGAATTTTACTCATTTTCTACATTAAAGATTATTGAAAAATGTAAAATTTGTGGTGATTATGAATAAAAAAAGCAAAGCAAAATAATTTATCTTATTCTTATTAATTATGAGGCTGGAAAGATAACACATTTTCCTATACGAAAATACGCATTATATTTCAACAAAATTTATCTATTTTTATTTATAGCCTTCAGCAAATTTACTGTAAAGAAAATCAGAACTAATTAATATAGTGCAAGATCCCAGAGCCGCCAGACGGTACTTATTTTCTAAGTAACGAAATGCGTCGGGTCACTTACTCTTAGTATTAGTATAATTTAACTTTGATACCTGCTTTGTTTAGGTCGCCGGCCCGTTTCCAAGTTCCAGGTACATTAAAATATTACTCAACTTTCTTAAAATCTAAGTATTTATTGTTAGGTATTTTCCTATCTTTGAGATAATATTATTAAAAGTTAATTTGAAAAGTCCGTCAGTCGTTGTTTCCGCTTACTAATAATATTAGTAAGCGGAAAAATCTGTGCGAGATCATTAAGCATAATATTTGTTTAATGTAAGTAGTTGGCGCTTAACTGATGTTAAGTGAAGTTTGCCAATCATTAATAAAGTGGCCCCCGGTTACCTCACTCACCAGACCAAACACGAAAGTATATACTTTCACTTCATGCCGGTCTTCTACGAGTCCGTGGTAGTTCTCCGGCCAAACCTGCCCATTCGTGCAACAGCAGAAACCGTTGCGTTCCGAAAATTATTTTTCTGTGTTCAGATTTACAAATTCTCTGGAAATAATGTATAATATGGACAAACAACGTTTGCCGGGTCAGCTAGTATTTAAATAAAAATGATTAATTATCGTTGAACCTTATAATATTATATATATTGTTACTTAATAAATGCAACTAAAACTCCCCTTACTTATCAAAGCAAACATTCGGCCACTGGCAACATATCAATTTGCATGGCTGCGTAGTGAGGGTTCAAATAATGAACCTCATAGCATTTCCGCCGAGGCGGTTCCTTTTGAATTTGCATATCAAAGCCGGTGGCCCCACTGGTTGTAATGTACTGTGTGCGACAATAACTGACCAGTGACTGTACAGTGGAGTGCAATATTTCCTCCGAAAATGTTTCCCTTTACACCCGGCTAAGTTTATTCTATTTCAATAAGAAGACTCGCTGGCCTGCCCTAGAGTTGAGGTAAATTGAAGTCAAATATGTTGATATTTTTCTACTTAGTACATAATCAACTATTATCTGCAACCTCGTGGACTTCAGAACGATGTCTACGTCCAGAATGAAATAAATTTTTTTTGTGAGTTGTATCTTAAATTAGATACCTCGTGGCTTTAATTTTTTTTAGACAAAACGTACAAATATAATTAAATAGATCAGCTATTTGTCCATATGATCTCAATGAATGAATCAGTTAATCGAATTGTCATAAATAATCGTGAATAAATTTGCATTTTGGTTACCTACGATTTTCTATCGTTTAAAAATATTTGTATAAGAAAAACGAGCGTGGCGCTAAAGTAAGCAATTAGTAATTTATATAATTCCGTTTCAATTCAACAATTTTTACGAAAACATGAATCGGTACCGTACAATTTTTTCTAGGTACACAAACGTTTACAAAACAACTTCGCGATCCTCGTAGGTACGTACATTTATTCCCGTGATAAAACATACGAAGCTAAGAACACAAAGCTGTTTACCTGCAGATTTAAAAGATCAGAGAATTAGCTACGGATAAAAATATTTCACCTGTAATCCGTACAGCCTGGCGTCCCAATCCGGAAGACTTAAATGCGGTAGCGGTTTTTCATAAGTCACAACTGATTGCATTTTAATTTTATGATTGTTATTTTATTATAGAAAGCACAATTATATTATATTCACTAAAAAAACAAACAGCACAGGTTTATCAAAAATTTATAAAATTAATTTTGACGTTCGGAGTCCTTATGTGTTTTTAAAATTATGCTTTGTTTTCCAAAAAGTTTACACGTTACAGATGCATAAATCATTAATACTTTTTTTATATTAAAATGTAAACAAATCATTAATTTAAATGACACTTTCGGAGTTAATAATTCACAACAAGTATTTACAGTAAAAGTAAAGTAAAAAAAAAGCCTCATAGACTGTTGCGGTCTTTTGAAGCCAAATATACTTCTTTTGGCGAGTATGGAAAAATTATGAGAGTAAATTTTTAAGATACGCGCGCACACTGGCGGCCAAAAACCGACATAATGAAGTTTGTTGCTATTTACTTACTTATTTATGTATTTGCGTAAGAATAAGCGCTTCAGAAATTTGAAACTATGATCATAAGAAGGTTTAATTATTTATTTTTTCCTTTATTCTATTGTTTGAAAACAAAGCTACAATTGGAGTGATTAAAAAAAACTGTACTTCAAGTTTACATTACAAAAGCCAACATAGAAGTAAAACAAAGTTCAAATATATTTCCATTACAAAAGTTGCAGAGAGCTTTAAGCTTTTTAAAATGCTTTGCAGTATTATCATAACTTGCTAGCTTCAGTCTCCGTGTACGTTACTTGAATGAGTTTCTATTTTTGTGTAACTTGGATCTAGATAAAAACTTACTTTGGCGGTAACTAGCGTAGTGTAAAAAGTTTAAACGGTCGCTTTTAAGGCTTTAAATCGCCCAATCATATTAATATTTTAATATGATTGTCGATGTACGTTTTGCAAACTTTTTTTAACCCATCACAGAGTTGAAGCCTTTACATATACATGTACTAGCTTTTCGGCTTCGCTCACGTTCAAGTCCTTAAATGAATATCTTTCTTCAAAAAATATATGTATATTAAGATATTTTCAACCCTTTACAACACTTTTTTCCAATTAAAAAATGTTCTTCCGTTCCAATGTTCTTTCTCAGGCTCTAGACTATCTGTGTACCAAATTTCATTTAAATCGGTTCAGTAGTTTTGGCTTAAAAGCGAGACAGACAGACAGAGTTACTTTCGCATTTATAATATTAGTATGGATTATTAAGGCCCTAACTCGTACCACAGAGAAGCAGATATACGTCTGCGTTGCCATTTTTTTACCATATACACATGTCTTGTATTTTGCCTGTTCCGTTTTCGCCTATGAAATCATACACATCACACATGCACGCCGATTACGGGAAGTTACTTTAAGGTCATTTCTGCTCAATAGAGATTATTAATTATTTAGATCATCAAAATTGGTTCTGTCTCTTCTTTGATCAAAATCTGAAAAATATTGTACAATTTACAATAAATAACTCTTAACTGGCTTTTTATACATTTCTCAATGATAATAAATATTTGAGTAGGCAATACAAGTTAACGAAAGTACGTATAATAGGTACCAATAAGATAATTCCAACTTTTTCTTCTAACCAAACTTTTAAGAAATGAATATACACAGCCGCCTGACCGTATTTGAATAAAGTTAAAATAAATGCTACATTTTGTTTCATGAGAAAGCAATTTGTGTAAAATTTCTTGTTTGGCGAAAGGGACTTTACAATTCACATAATATGAGTATATGTGTAGGCAGAGATTGTGGAAATATATAATGTACTTTATACTAGTAGTGTCTGTTAACAACGATCCCCAACGGCGCGCACAGAATGAACTATCCATTATTTTTTATTTCTCATGTGCGCCACCGTCGTTGCCGCTACGGACTTTGACTAGCACAAGGCATCTTTATCTTCTCAGTGAATGGTTGCATTTTTGATTTGTTTATTAGTCATATCTTTACTCGTATGTTTGTGAATGATATAAGTTTGAATTTAAATACAAATACTAATGCATCGATAAGCCTCTGGATGTAGCACTGAATGTTAAGCTACCTGATAATTTTGATTTTTATACATGAAAATAAATCAAGAGAGTAGATGGTTATAATTTGATTTTAAAAGGCCACTATAGATATATATATAACATGATGGATTGCAGATGATTTGCCCACGCTTATAAGAGTAAGGTCCACGTTCAAGAGTCAAAATTCTCCCTCTTCATTCGAAATGCAAAAGCGCAAATACTTGCTCATTCGTGCAACAGCAAGTTTGTTGTTGCACGAATGAGCTAGTATTTGAAATCTTCCCACAAATAGACGTAGATAGTTATCTACCGTTGTAAAATTTTGTTGAAGTATATTCACCCTTTGTGGGATGGTCGTAGCCATGAATGCATTAAAGTATTAGAAAAGCTGCGAATTTATATTTAAATAAAGCTTAATATGATATAATGGGTAGCGCCGCGTAAGTTCAAGAAATTGTTTCATTTATTTAGTCTTTTAGTTTTGACAAAAAGATAACTCGAAGGAAAGGCACAAGACTTCGAAACATGGATAAAAAAAAACATACATTTTCTATTCGTATAAAACAGTTCGAGCCAGAATAGACCATGGATAAGACCGGCGTTAATCAGGTCCCATTTAAACCTCCTTTTTTAACAATATTTTATTAACAATATTGCAATGACAACCAATAGAATGTTGTTTATAAAAATAATGGAAAGATGAGAGAAAACTTTGCTTCAGCCACGCATTCATATTAATGTATATCTACGAGTATTGGAGAATAGTGAGGTTTGTACGTCCTAATAAATAAATTAAATTTAAAAAGTTTGTAACGAAAATCATTCCTTGAAAGCCTCTCTATAACTAGTGTCGCGACCCTGGACATGGATTTAACTTCACACTAATCATCTCTTGGCACACAAATTGCGTCCTGCAACTTTTACAACCCCAAATTTAACTTTTCATTGAACTAACAGCAAATTCCCTGTTTGGTGATGTTTACAGATTATCGTGAGCTGGAGGTTGATCTTATGTTACTTGATACTTGCAATATTCTACGGGTGCAGATTCACTTACATTTATGCATTAAATTGAAATATGGTAAAGCGATAGTTACTTATGTTTTCTTCAACAGCCTTCGCATATAGCCGCATATAGCATATGTTGTTAATCTGTGTGCTACATTTTGCCAAGCAAAAATTTTGGTCTAAACCCTTACTGAAGAATGCTTGGAAATAAATAAATGTTCAACGGGACCGTTATAAAGAAAGAAACGGATTCAAGTGATTATGATTAAATCATATCACGGCGATTGTTTAGCAAAACTCTCGGTAAAACAAGCGCGACGCGGTACTAATATCAACGAGATCATTATAACTTTTAGCTAAACGCAAACGTTACCTTGTTAATGAATATTTACAAAGGTCGACAAGTTCGTATCGGAGCAAAACTTTTCCCACTTAGCAATTTTTAACAAATTGATATGTTTATAGACAAAAATTTAATGTTCATAGTGAAAATCATTACGAAAGAACTCTTCCTGTGGCCACATAGGTCACACTAAAAGTTTCCGGAACTGGCTACTTACATAAACAATATTTAAAAAGTAATTACAACATTTACAAATGAAACTCTTTGGCTGTAGAATACAACTTGTTTATAAGACGGTCAATTGTGAATACTTTGTGGCGCCATTTTAAAAATTGCGTGTCTACATTAACATGGATTTAACTGGGAAAATTTTAAGTGTAATTTGGCAGTTAGGCAGAGCCTCGCTCGGCTTCGATCTGCTTTTGGCGATGAAACACCATGCCAGTTGACTATTTATAGCTGGTTTGCGGAATTCAAGCGCAGTCGTGTCAATCTCAGTGACGAATCTCGCGATGGTCGCCTGTCCACTGTGAACAATAAAAACATCGATGCTGTGCACCGTATGATCGAAACACACAGGACACATCTGTAGAACAGAAAGTGACATGTCACCTACCATGAGATTCGGGAATCTTTAGACATAGGCATGAGTAAAATACAATCAATCCTACACAAACATTTGGTTGTAAGCTATGCTCGCGGTGGATCCCACACAATTTGATCGAGGCTCAAAAAAACGCACCGCATCACTTACCAGATTCAACGAAGGGGCGTTAAATTTGGTGTGGGACATAGTAACTGGTAACGAAACATGGATTTATTATTACGGTCCCAAAAAAACAGCAGTCGAGTGTACCGTCTTTCAAGATGAGCCGAAACCAACAAAAGCGACAAGCGTGAAAAGTGCATCTAAACTGATGATGAAGCTTCTTTTTTTTAATAAAACTGGACGTGGCTACTGTTGCCTCAGAGAATCGTCGTAACGTAAATAGTGACTGGTACAGGAACATTTGTTTTTCGGAAGTTATTGACAAACTGCGTGAAAATAACCGTAGACCCCGTATCATCTTGCACCACGACACTGCTAGGGGAACACGGGCAGACAGACAAGTGAAAAACGTAGAACTTATGAGCCATCCTCCATGCAGTCCCAACTTGGCACCTTTTTCTGTTCCCAAAAATTAAGAAGCAATTGTGCGGTCAACGCTTTTCATGAGTTCGATTTCGAGTATGAAAAACATGTTTATGAGGTCACCACGGAGGAGTTGCACAAATGTTTTTGAAATTTGTTTATTCGTATGAAAAAGTGCATTTACGCAATGGGAGATTACCTAGAGGAAAAATAAATTCATTTTTGACCTTTAATAGTATTTTTTTCTCATTTATTCCGTAAACTTTTAGTGCGCCCCACGTATATTTGAAGACTGGCTGCAAATTAGTAAGCGATTCTGAGAATAAATGAAATATTGACGGACTAAAAAATAACAATAGACATTTGCAACATCCATAGGTTTGCAGATTCGTTGCCACCTCATAATTAAGTGGGCCCCAGCTACCCCTCTCACCAGATGAAACGCAGAAGTATAATGCTTCTATTTAACGCCGGTCGTCTGTGAGGTTGCGGTACTTACTTAGCCATTAGTGCAACAGTGAAGATTGTTGCGTGG